CGCCGGCCGTGGCGTGGACGGGTGACGGTCTGGCGCCGGCCGTGGCGTGGACGGGTGACGGTCTGGCGCCGGCCGTAAAGCGTCCGCCTGGGGCACGCCGCGGCACGTCCTCGAGTTTTGTCTGACTGCAGTAATCCCGTCGTCAGTGACCCGATCAGGGGTGGTTGAGGTGTCGCGTGATACGAGCCATCCGACTGAGCTCGTGGTGTCCCGGGCGGATTATAGGTCTATATTTAGTCGAACGTTGGGCTTCGGGAGCTGGTTTCATTAAGCCAGTGTGCCGTGGCAAATCATGCGACGTGCGCCAATGCCTCCTCCTCTCCCCAAATCACGTCATGATCTGTCCTTGGGCTATGTAGGTTGCCAAGTTTTGTTGGTAACAACTCGTCAGTCAGCCCGTATGTCAGCGTGACGGCGAGGGGAAGATAGCAAATCTCAGTTGTCTGGCTGGAACGGTTTGGTGGTAAATAGAAACCGGAGGACCGTGACGCCCCCCCCCCCCCCCCTCCCCCGTGCCACCTCCGCAGAAAAGTTATGTTGGGGATGGCACGGATCTGGTATAAATGGCCGGGCGCGAATGCGGGGCGGCTTCCCCTCATTATGTCAGGCTGCAGCTGTTGTATGGTGCTTCGCCTTAGAACTCGGTTTTTTGGAGGTTGGGAAAAGACAATCTGCCGTCATCTCCTCAACATCGTAGCCCTATGTCAGGAAGTCAGGGAGAATGGGACCCGCGGGCAGCACTCTGAGAAAAGCCCAGCTTCGTCCGTCGGAAGCTTCTCGGAACCATGCGGCTGACCAGGTGCCGGCGGACCGGTAACAGGCCGAGACTGCGTCACACAGAGCCGCTCGACTCGCTGGCGTGGTGTTTCGGGAGTCAGAACCGTGCGGCTGACCAGGTGCCGGCGGACCGGTAACAGGCTGCCACTGCGTCACACAGAGCCGCTCGACTCGTTGGCGTGGTGTTTCGGGAGTCAGAACCATGCGGCTGACCAGGTGCCGGCGGAACGGTAACAGGCTGAGATTGCGTCCCACAGAGCCGCTCGACTCGCTGGCGTGGTGTTTCGGGCGTCAGAACCATGCGGCTGACCAGGTGCCGGCGGACCGGTAACAGGCCGAGACTGCGTCACACAGAGCCGCTCGACTCGCTGGCGTGGTGTTTCGGGCGTCAGAACCATGCGGCTGACCAGGTGCCGGCGGACCGGTAACAGGCTGCCACTGCGTCACAGCCGCTGGACTCGTTAGCGGGGTGTTTCGGGCGTCAGAACCGGCACGGCCGCGCCACACTACGCCGCACGTCTTGCGCAACGAGTGTGGACGCTGCGACGTAACCTCTCGGGTGGGGGCAGTAGCCTTGGGCGCCATATTACCTGGGTAGCCGGCGCTCCCTCCGTAAAGCCCGAATCGTCATCATCATCGGTGGCAGAAGCACGCGTTCGATTGCAGCTCCAATCACATAAGCGGGCGTTGTCGACGAGCCGTTGCCCTGGAATACTGTTCGTCTCGCTGTGCTGGTTTGGCCGTGACCAGCTGGTTATGACGTGGAGCGTTCATGGCGCATGTCTGCACGCAGCCGCAACATCCCCAGCACGGGCCGCACGCCCGGCCGGCGCCGTGTTTGTTTTCGCCGGCCGTCGCAGTCGCGAAACAGGCTCCGCGCCGCGATCCGTGGCGACCTGGCTCGCTTTCCCCGGAGATGCGGCACGCTCTCCGGGCGCGTGCGCCGCGCGGCCACGGCACATCCATCACGCGGATTCGCTCGATTTGTGAGAGCCGGCCGGCCGTCGTCGGGGTTGACCTCCGGCCGGCGGCGCGGACGGACGGATGTCGGCTGGGGGCGGGCGGCGCCGGCCGGAGAGAGAGTGAAACGGCGCCCGGCGGCGGCAGAGGCGCCGTCGTGAGCGATCGGTCGGCGGCGCGCGGCCGCCGCTGCTCCTCCGCCGTCATCGCCCGTGCACGGCTCGCGAGGCGGCCGCCGTGCGGTCTGGAAATCGGATTATCGCGCCGGCCCACGCCGACGGAGCTCAGCTGTGACGCCTTCCAGAGCAGCGCGGCGCTGCTGATTGGGGGGGGGGGGGGGGGGGGGGGCGCTGCTCCGGTGTGCGCAGCGCGGCCGGCGGGACGTCTGGAAGGGACGCCGGTCTCAGCTGGCGGCCCACGGCGCGGTGAACCGGGACACCCGTTGCCGACGAGGCGACTGTCGTGCCTCGACGCTGGGCGACAGGAGTTTGCCCCCCCCCCCCCCCCCCCCCATCTGATCATAATTCGCGAACGATCGCAGCGCTCGCTGCGGGCTAGCCGCTCGAAGCGGGAGCAGGCGTTTGATCGCGCGTCATCCCCTCCCCCCCTCCGCCCCATCTCGCCCGTTGCGGCGAACGTGGCGCGGCCTGGCGACAGCCGCCCGCATCCCGCATCCGCGGCCGCAGCGGCCGCATACACTTTCACACGCCGGCGGATATTTGGCGCATCTTTTGTCATTCATGGGCGGCGCGATGCGGCTGGTGGTCGGCGGCGTGCGGTGCTGCGCCGCGAGCGGCGGCGCCGGCGCGCCGGGTCGACGTCGGGTCAGCCGGCGACGCCCCGCGGAACACCACGGGCGTAGCCAGGGGTGGGGCCGCGACCGGGAACGTGGTCGGTGTCGCCACACTTGCGAAGGTGGGTGCTCCTTCCACGCTGGGGAGAGGGAGAGGAACTTGAAAAGAATTGCCATCCCTCTGGATTTTGACCCGTGGTGAAGTCCCTAGTGTAGCCGGTTGTCGTCATCGCTTCCCCAGCCGCGTGCTGGACTCGCCGCTGCCGACGGCGGCTGGTGCGAACGGGGTCGACTTGCGGCCGCCGGCGGCACCGGGCGTCCGCCGCCGAGCGCCGGCGGCCGGCGGGTCGACCGCGGCCTGACACCGGGCGGTCGGTGGTGGCCGGCCCCGCTCGCACCTGGCCCGGGAGACCCGGGCGCCGCTGCTGCGGCGGGACACGGGAACCGGCGCCGGAGAACGGCGGCGGCGTGGCCCAGGACTCTCCAGCGTATTGCGAGGAGGGAACTTTGAGGCTGGGTGGTCAGCGTGGGGTGGGTGCTCGGTGTGGTCAAAGAGAAACTAAAGCACCGGGATTGTCTAATGCGGCACGTGTTTTTCCTTCCCGGAAGCTTGTAAGAAAATGAAAATCATCATTGATCGTAGATTCCCGGAGCGAATGGCTTTACGTGCCACTTTGGCTTCATACGGACAGCCATATCGCGTTATGTACGTACGAATGGCCTACTTCTATATCATCTACATACCACTGTATCATCGGTGTGATACCTGCGATGCCACACGCGCTGCTTGGGTGAAAACGGACTGAAGACGAAGCCATCGGGCGCCAGACGGAAAGCCGCCCACGGCCGGCCCTGTTCCGCGTGCGGCATGCCCGTTAGATACGATAGATCTTCTCCGGCCTCTGTGCGCGTGCGCGCATGGTCTCGGCAGCAGTACCGTTGATCAGCGATCGGTTGATCAGTTGATCAACGCTGCCGATCAGTTGATCGGCAGCGGTAAACCACCACCGACTGTGCCTCGGCTTCAAACGCCGTCCGACCGTCCGGCGGTGACGCCGCGTGCCGGCGCTCGTACTGTCGCCCGCCGTCACGTGCTCGTCACGTGCCGCACGACCCTTGGGCCACCGCAGCTGGAGCCGGTCGGGCCCGGACGCGGCGCTGACGATCGGTGACGTCACCGCGCTGTCAGCACTCCCCGGCGCGGCGCGACCGCCCGCCCAGCGTCACGTCTGGAGGAGCGTCACGACCGCGTGGCCTCCAGACGGCGGGGCGGAGGCGTGGGAGGGGTGGAGCGGCGCGGGCCGCCGTGTTGCGAGCCGTCGATGCACGAGACGTACGCTAGGCTCTGCTCCCGTGGATGGCGCGACACTGTGGTGCTCTGCGCGGACAGCGGCGGAGACTTGGCGCGCGACTCGAGTCCGGGCCGGCGACCGGGAAACGGCGTGAATGGCGGGCGCATGAATCGGCTTTTGGACCGGACCGGGCCGGCTGGTGTCTGCGGCGACCGGCCGTGAATGAGCCGAACAGCCGCACAGCCGCACAGCCGCACAGCCGCACAGCATGAGCCGCACAGCCGGCCGATGCCGGTGACCGGTCTGGTGCCAACACAATTAAGATGCCCATCATCGGGGGCGCCCCGCTGTTCCTCGGGTGTTGGGCGGGTAATAAGGACGCCACTCGACCGGGGCGCAGATCAGGCGATGGGCCGGTCTCCCACGCTCAGCGGCACGCTCGGCGTCAGCTGGGCCCGTAATCGTCTCTGCGCGGAGGGAAGGCGCCGGTCGCGGCTCGGGCGACCGAGCGCCGCCGGCCCGCCGCCGGCTGCCGACACCGGCTATCTGCGGCGAGTCGGCGCCGGGCGCCGGTGGTGCTGGAGCCGTGCAACAGATCGCTGAGACGCGTTCAGGCACATCGTGATAACCGATGTTGCGTGTTGTCTGTTGGAGTTGGAGGTGGAGTTGGAGTTGGATCTGTAGTGTGCTGTTGTCGAAGAGATACGCGACCTTGCTCTTGCGTGAGACCCGCGTGTCTGCGAACCATGTACGTTAGCCTGTACACTTAGTGTTCTGGTTTACGTTCGCCGTATGGATGCCGTTGACCTGTTCAGCTTAGTGAGACGTATTACAGCATTCTGTGCCCTCTGCTGGCGTGAGCCTGTTGCGTGTTTGGTGTGTGTTTAGCCGTCGCTGGTCTGTCGGCCGCCCAGTCGCCGCCACTGTTTTCTCAGCTGTCGGCGCGGTCGCTGGGCCGTACACGCCAGCTGTCGAGCTGCGGCGTCCTGCAGCGCCGCCGCTGCCGCCGCTGCGGCGCCGACCGATCGGTCCGCCGTTACTGCGGCAGCGGAGCGTGACGGCCTGCCGTCCGCCGCGTCCGGCGTCACGACAGGCTCCGCTCCGACGGCCGGCGCGGTCCCCCCCCCCCCGTGCCACCTCCGCCGCCGACTGACGCCCGGGCGCGGCCGCTGTTGCAGAGGCGCCCATGTCGCCGCTGGGGGACAGCCAGCTGGAGGAGCAGCCGCTGACCACCACCGACGAGCGCCTGCGCAGCCTCGGCCGCCAGCTCAACATCGAGATGAAGGTCAGCATGCGCACGCGCACGCACCCACGCACGCACGCACGCACGCACGCACGCACGCACGCACGCAGATGTCATCGGTGAGCGCGGCATTCCGTTCGCCGGTGAGCTCGTGTGGACACAGTCAAAGACTGTCGATGCTTCAACGAAACATGGCGTGTTTGCACTGAGCGTGTCGTGCAGCTGGAAGTGTTCTCAAGTCGGCTGTCACCAGCACAAGCTGGCGCACCGAGGCACCGCGGCGCCAGTCGCCTCGCGCTGGCGTGGGTCGCCTACGGCCGGGAGGCGTCCGGCCGGTCGGAACGGAGCCCGGCCGAGCCGCGAGCCCGCGACGCCGCTGTGCCCAGGCGCTGATGTCGCCGCTGCTGCTCTCTACGGCCGTGCCGTGCCGTGCCGTGCCGTGCCGTGCCGTGCCGTGCCGTGCCGTGCCGTGCCGTGCCGTGCCGTGCCGTGCCGTGCCGTGCCGTGCCGCGCCGCGCCGCGCCGTTCCGGGTCGGGCCGCGCTGCGCAGCGCCGTCTGAATGGGAGGAGCTGGGCAGCCGCTGATCTATGGCGTCTCTGCAGCGGATCTGTATAGGCTGGGGTATAGTTGTGCGGCGCTTAATCGGCGCTGTGTTATGCGGCGGACGGGCGAGAGGGACGCCGCCGTCGGAGGCGCGGGCGCCGCTGTTGCCGGGCGCGGCGCTGGTGTCTCCCGTGCCAGCCGCCGCCGCCGCTGTCGCGTGGAGGCTCATCCCGGCCAGAGGCTATCTGATGGCCCGGCCGGGGTCGCTCGCGTGTTTCGGCGCCGGCCGCGCGGTGCCGCCCTGCTGCCGCCGGAGTGTGGGGCTGGAGGAGGCGGCCGGGCGGCGCCGCTGGCCGCCACCGTGCGCAGCGGCCGCGAGCGCCGAGAGTGGAGGGGCGACCGGTCGCCGCCGCCAGCGCGCCGAGGTGGTCCGTAAAACTGCGACACCGTTAGCTTGCATGCGGTTGAGTGGCTGCCGCATGGTACTGGTGCGGAGGCGAACTCCGTCCCGGCCCGTGTCCGTCTCGCCCGTGGTCCGTCGGTGATGCGGGGCATCGGCGGAACGGCGGCGCCGGCAGCGGCGGTGGCCGGGGCGCCGCCGCGGACCCAGCCCCGGCCCGCCGTCCACGCTCCCTGTGTCAGTCCCGCGCCGCCGACGAGCTGGCGCGGCGTGCTCGACAGCTGCGGCGGCGTCCGCGAGGTGGCGGGCTGAGCGGCGCCCGCCGGCACGCCTCGGCGGCTCGGTCACGGGTCAGCTGACCTGTCCGGGTCACTGGTGCCGCTCCCAGCCGGGCCGGCTGTTCAGGTGGGCGCCGCGTCGCCCCGGGGGCTGGCCCGGCCGGCAGCAGCTGCTGGGACGGCGGCCGCAGGCCGACGGCTTCCGCTACGTTTCGCAAGCTGGGAATGAGGGCCGGCGGTAATGCGGTGAGGTCGAGCCGCAGTGCCACCATGTCAGACGTCAGCGCAGACGTCAGCTCCGTTGGGCATTGTAAGAGGCAGACTATTGGCTTTCCGCTTGATCTGTTCTCAGCCTTTTATGCTCTGCACATTATCAGTTGCATATTTCCCAGGGAGATATATTTATCTTTGTTCGTAGCCGCTAAATGCGTGCATGCGTGCCATTCACCACTCTCATTATTCCAGTCCGCGCCTGTGGTTCATCACTTTCCTGGACGCGCGCGTGCGGCCCCACACTCCCTCTCCCCGTCCAATGCACTTCGCGTTTTCATTTCTGAACCTCTTCCCTCGTTCAGAATCCGTCATCCCGTCTGTTCAGCGTGCGCCGTGCGCCGCAGAGCGTCGGCGTCGGCGGCGGGAGCGTGCGCCTCGGTCAGACCCCAGAGCCGGGCACGCGCGTCCGCATGCAGCGACGTCGGACGCCTTCCTTTCTGATGTCATGACCTCGGTGTTTGGACCTCTGCCGCCGCGGTCCACGGCAGAGAGACGGCGACACTCACCCCTGAAGCGGGCCTGTGCGTCGCTCCGCAGGCGGGCAGTCCTCGCGCGGTGTGGCCTCACCGGCGGCGTCAGGGGCTGAGCGCCGGTGGCGGCTGGAGCGGGCCTGTGCGTCGCACCGCAGGCGGGCAGTCCTCGCGCGGTGTGGTCTCACGGGGGGCATCAGGGGCTGAGCGCCCGTGTGTGCTGGACCGCAGCCTCGTCGGTCCGACTCTGGACCCTCCGGTGGCCGGACGCCGAGCGCTGGCGCCGCCGGCCCACGGCCGCCTGTAAAAGGCACGTAAAATGCATGTTTTTCACTATTCAGCGTTGGGGTGTGAAGGCGAGGCGGAGGGGCGAGACGTCAGCCGTGGCGGACGGCCGGCCGGCAGCCGGCGGGAGGCCGTCCCGGCGCGGGCTTTACGACCCGGTTGCGCTCGCGGCGGCCGGTAACGCTCACGGTGGCCGGGATATGGCCCTACAAACGGCGCAGCGCCGCCGTACGAGCTGGCGGCGGTTCCGCCGCATCGAGCGAGGCGCGGGAGCGATCGGCGCGGCCTTGTCCGCGCACCTCCAGCGGAGCCGACGCTCGCTGTCCGGCCCGCGCCCGCCTGACCCGGGCGACTGTGACTCTGGCTGGGGTCAGACGCGGGCTGCTGTCGTGTCCGGGCCCGGTCGCGCGCCTGCGCCACCGGCCACTTCCGTGCTCTCCCGTGTCCGGGGACCGGCTGGGTCTGTTTGGAGGCCGCCCACCGGCGTCCTGCCGGCAGGGTGGCCGTTGACGCTGCCAATACTAATGAGGCAGCAGCCATGATGCGGATTGCCGCGTACTTTGCCATTAGCGATGCCGGCTGTGACGCCAAATTTGGCGCCGGTGCTTCTGGTGATGCCTGGGAATGGCGTCGTTAGCGTGGTCGGTGGGGTCGGTTTCGCCACCGCTCAAGCCGCTGCCAACTTTGCCAACTCATGACGCCAGTCGTGCAGATACTGCTGATACGGCCTGTCGTGTCTACATCATTGATCTGTCCACAGAAATGCAGCTCCCGGTCTTGATGGGAGCGGCCCGTCGCCGCCCCTGCGCCTGCTGTTGCTGTGTGACACTGTGGCACTGAATGACTGTTCCACGGTGATTGTTCCGTGTAGCGCTTCCGGTGTGACTGTCACACGCCATACCGTTCACACAACAGTCAGCGCAGCACAGTCAGAACGGAACAGTCAGCACAGTATCTGTCAGAACAGAACGCTCAGCACGGAACGGTTGGAACGGAGCAGCGTCCCGGCGGCGGTCGGTCCCAGAGCCGGCGGCTGGAGCGGTACCCGGTCCTAGCGGGGTCGCCCGAGTGCCGACAGTGTCTGGAGCAGACACGGGGTCTCGAGCCCCGGTCCTGGCGGGGCCGCCCTACTGCCGACAGCGTCTAGAGCAGACACGGAGTCTCGAGTCTCGGTCCTAGCGGGGCCGCCCTACTGCCGACAGCGTCTAGAGCAGACACGGAGTCTCGAGTCCGCCTCTGGGTGTGATCGCGCACAACTCCGTCCACTCCGCCGTCGGAAATAGCGGTCAGCGCGGTCTCCGCGGAGTGGCAGGCTCCATCTGTCATGCTTCCGTCAGCTGACAGTGCCGGTTACGTCGGTGGCGCACGTTCTGTGCGACCGTCCAACGTCCATTGTTCAGCTCGAACGCTCTGTGCGACCGTCCAACGTCCACTGGTCAGCTCGAACGTTCTGTACGACCGCTCTGTGCGGCTGTTGCGTGCCGAGGGTCGTGCTGTGTCGAGGTTTCTGTGCCGACCGTGTGCTCTCCGTGCCGCTCTGTGCCGCTCTGTGCTGACCTTTCCCCGTCGTGTGTCCGGCCGCAGGTGAAGCAGGGCGCCGAGAACCTCATCAGCATGTACTCGGCCGGCGGCCAGCAGAGCAAGAAGCTGCTGGCCGACGCCCACCAGATGCTGGAGGATGCTAAGGCCAAGATCGACTACATCAAGATGCGCATCAACAAGCTGAGCCAGAACGTGGCGCAGAGCTCCAGCGGCGAGAACCGCTCCATGGGTAACGTGCTGCCCCCCCCCCCCCCCCCTGGCCTAGAGGGGAGTGGCCCTTCCGCGCCTTCCGTGTTCGCCGTGGACTCTGCCGACCGTGTACGGATTGTGTGTGACTCAGTGGCGGCTTGGGCGGGCGATACTGATTTGGCATGGCACGCGGGCGATGTCGGCTTCAGGGCATGTCTGTACTGATTGAGCGTGACTCACTGATAGCGGGGGCTTCAGCGCAGGCCGCTGTCAGGGCTGCTCTGATGGCCGGGGCGCCGGTATCGGGCGAGGTGGGGACCTCGGTAGCGGGACCTCGGTAGCGTCATCGCGTGCGCGTGCGACCCACAACGTGCGCGTGTGACTCCGCGGACGAGGCGGATTAGCAGGCTGTGCGGGCCGCCGGTGTGTTACCGGGGATGGCGGTGGGGTGTTGGAGGAGGCGTCCAGGGGCTTTACAGGGGACGGCGAGCCACTTTTACCACAGGGAAACGTCGAACGGTGATGATAATTTGAGAGAGGGGGAGGCGGTCGCGTCCGTTTTCAAGTTTTTTAGTTTTAGAGTTGGACAGGGCCGTGAGCGTGTGTTGCCTTCAGCGGCCACCTCGTGTGTGGCGGCGCCGGCCGGCTGGCTGTGCGACCGGTGGTCGGGCCCGTGCCGGCGCGTGCTCCCTGGCGCCGGCCGGCTGAGGGACCGATGGCCGGGCCCGTGCCGGTGCGTGCCCCCTGGCGCTGGCCGGCCGAGGGACCGATGGCCGGGCCCGTGCCGGCGCGTGCTCCCTGGCGTCGGCCGGCTGACGGACCGCTGGCCGGGCCTTACCGGCGCGTGCTCCCTGGCGCCGGCCGAGTGGCCGTGATGCACGTTGTCCGCGCTCGGCGGCACCGCCGACCGCCGGAGCGGGCCGGGCCGGGCCGGCCGCCGGGTACAGGGCGAATCCGCAGGCGGACTGACGCCGCTCGGCTGGGTTTTCCCTGGCCGAGTCGGCGCCGCCCGGCCCGGCCCTGCTTACCTGGCTCGGCTCGGCCAGCGCCGTCCGCGGCGCCCGGTCCGGCCGGCGGAGGAGGGGGCCGTCGAGCCGCACCACTCGTGGTCAGAAGAGCAGAGAGCCTGACGGGGCCGCCGCGCAGACACCGGCTCGGCGGGCAGGGGGAGGGGGCCATCGAGCCGCACCACTCGTGGTCAGAGGAGCAGAGCCCGACGGGGCCGCCGCGCAGACACCGGCTCGGCGGGCAGGGGGGAGGGGGCCGTCGAGCCGCACCACTCGTGGTCAGGAGAGCAGAGCCCGACGGGGCCGCCGCGCGGACACCGGTCCGGCCGGCGGAGGAGGGGCCGTCGAGCCGCACCACTCGTGGTCAGAAGAGCAGAGCCCGACGGGGCCGCCGTTCAGACACCGGCTCGGCGGCGCAGGAGGAGGGAATGGCTGTGGGTGGAGGCGCTCGGTGTGGGACGTTAGGTGGCGGCGGGAGCGTGGATGTGGGCATATGGCGACCTGTCACAGATACAAAGTCGGCAGGGTTGGGGTTGACTTTGAAGAGCGCTGACTGTGCTTAGTACGGAACGCGACAGTGGGCTCTTTGGTATGGGTGCTCGTAGCAATGTTGAGCATTTTAGTATGCGGAGAATGAACGGAAAACGTTAAGAGACGGACGAACGTTGCGTTACGAACGTTGCGAACGATTCAGTGTTATGTGAAGGCCATAGATGAGCACAGGATGTGGTGATCGGCTACGAGAGTTTGAGTAAGCTCCAGTTGAATTCTTCTCTGAGATTGGGTATTGCTATGCTCTGAGATTGGGTATCGATATGGGAAGAAGCATGGAAGGAACCGATGACAGACATGGAATTCGTTGAATGCATTTCTCAGCGTTTGCATGTTAAGACCATTTGTAATTTTGGAGCGTTGTCCGTACAGTCCGCAAAAAAATGCCCTTAGTTACCATCCTGAACCTAGAATATGCATGAGCCACGTCGTTGAAGTCGGCGGTGAATACAGAGAGGCCGTTTCGCTGGCTCGCTCGTGATGCGATGCAGCACGCTGGCGTCGCGCCGCCCGGCACGTCTGCGCGGCGTCTGCCGGCGCGGCACGGCCGGTTCCGTCCTTGGAGGGCGGCGCGGCGGTGCAGCGGCCGTCGCGTGACAGCCGACTGACGCGCGGCCACCGGCGCCGGACTCCGTGCGCCTGTCGTGCCGCTACCGTGTTACGGACGGCACCGGGCCGGCGGCGCACACCGGCCGACGGTGACGTCACGTGGGTCCCGGTGACGTCACGGCGGGGCACCCTGTTCTCGATCGGCCGCGCTCAACACGCGCGCCCGGGATCTCCCCTCGTTGTGCCGGTCGCTCCATGGCTGTCAGACGATGTGTGTGTGTGTGTTTGTGTGTGTTTGTTTGTGTGGTGTCCGGGCCAGGGCCGGGCACTGGTGTCCACGGCCCACGCGTCGGCGCGCTGTGTTGCGGGGACGTCAGGCGCAGTGTTCACGTTAACCGCATTATGCTGGGGTCGGCGCAACACTTTGTGGACCGCAGCGCTGCAGACAGCGTGTGCGCGCGTCTTCCCCTCCCCCACCCCGCTGAACCCTGCCCGCGGGCCGGTGACCCGGCTCGACCTCTGAACCCGCGAGCCCCGGTCCTTGCGCCCCGGCGTGGCCCATATCGCCCCAGCCTGACCCCTGGCCGCGGGTGTCCCTGCCTGACCCGCTGACCTGACCTCGGGCAGTGGACCGGGCGTTCGAGTCGAGCCAGCTGACGCCGCTGGATGTGCGTATCGAGGAGCTGCGCCACCACCTGCGCATCGAGACGGCCGTCATGGACGGCGCCAAGAATGCCATCCGCCTGCTCCAGAGCGGCAAGGTCACAGACAAGAAGGCCCTCCAGGAGGTGAGGCGACTGCGCGGGCGGGCGGGCAGGGGAGGGGGTGCTGCGCGGTGGGGCTGAGGTGTGGGAGGGACAGCCAGGGGACGCTGGTGACCGTGTGGAGTTTCGCACCGCGGGAGCAGTGGTGCCCTGGGAGGCGGAGGCGGGCGGCGCTGCTGGAGGTCAGCACTCGGAGCAGCCTGGCTGGTCAGCGCTGTGTTGGTTCAAAGATCGACTTCCAGTGATGCTTGGTGCGATGCAGGGGAGTTGTATTGAACGTGGAAAGGCTCCGTGATTAGGTCCCGCAGATAGGTAATGTCGGCTTCTTTTGGAGGTCTTCGTGGCTAGAGGCTTCTCCATACATCCCGTTAGCAATTCCGACGGCTTCCTCCGTCTGATTGGGGATCTGTGCTGTACGGTGCCGACCACTAAGCCCGTATCTCCCAACAAAAGCGGGGGCTGCCGCAGTCCGGCTGGCGCCGCTCCTCTGGCGGTGGTGCCGCTCCCCTGCTCCCTTCCCCTCCCCCTCCCCCTCCCCTCCTCCTCCCCCGGATGCCTGCGGTCTCGTGCAGCTGTCGGCCCCGCCTCGTGCCGGTCTGAAGTGGACCGAGCTCCGCCGCCGCCACCACCGCCACGCGACATGTCCAAACATAAACACGCTCTGTTTGCGTTGTCTCATTAGCCGATCAGCGCGCGGCGGGAGCCGTGTCAGCAGCCCGGCCGGGCGGTCCGCCACCTGTTGGCCGGCGGGGGAAGCTGTAGTCCGTGCGACGGCCGCTCGTCCGTCGCGCTGCGCGGGGCGGTGCCTCCAGCTGTGGCGGGCAGGAGCCCGGGGCGATCTCGATCCCCTGCGACGATTGGGCGTGGTTGTGTTTGACTTGGCGGCGATCTTGGCACGGCGTCGGCGACATGGGCAGCACGCGGTGACTCTCATAGCCCCGCGCACCGGAAATAGCTCCTGGTGTTTGACTGAAGACGTCGCGCCTGCAACGTGCGGCAATGACGTAAGCCCGCCCTTGGCAACGGAAGCGACTGGTTTGACTTGCGCCGGATTCATCTTCGCCAAGAAGGCCGTACTGACGTCCGCGGTCTAATATTTCTTGATGCAAAACTGGCCGTGGGCCCGGCCTCAACACAAACAGTCCGTGAGCTCGTCATCGCACGATCGTCGGCCGGTCTGGTGTCGGGCTGGCCGCTCTCGGCGCACGAAGCTCGTCTGGCGCCGCTCCAGCGGCCGGCCGGCCACCGACGGGGCTTCCCGCGCCCGCCGACAGGTGTCACCGCCGGCGCGGCTGGCAGCGCGCGGCCGCTGCGTTGGCGCCGCCGGCGTCTGCGGCCGCCAGCGACGCTGGCGGTGCCGGGCGACTGATGCACGCCCGGGCGGCGCTTCAAAGCTTCTGCCGCCTCTGGGGCGGCCATCGGGCGCCGACTAGTGTTATTACGCCGCCTCAGCTGCGTGATTGGCGGGGGTGAACGACCGCCGCGAGGCCACAAGATCGCGCGCCCGTGCCGGGCTGGTTGGCACGAGACCTGCGGCGGAGAGGGAGGGGGCGTGGGTCAGCTGACCGGCCCGCCGCCGGACGGTTCGCTTATTTACGCGGACGGCAGTTGTGGCGCGGCGGCGGCGGCGGGAGGATACGTCCCCGGAGGACACGTCCTCGGAGGAGGACGGCTCCCCGAGGCCACCGCTCGGGGAGGAAGAGGAGGAGGGCGTGGTGGTGGTGGCGGGGCGATGGCCGCGTCCCGCCCCGGCCCGCGCCGTCTCTCAGCCGAGCTGGCTGTCAGCTGTCCGTCGGCCGCCGGTCGTCTCCGCCTCCGCTGCTCGTGGGAAGAGAGCGCCGACGCCGGCCGGTCGGCGCCCGGACGGCACGCGCCGGAGGAGATGCCCGGACAGTGCGGCACGCCCGGCAGCCGGCTGGGGCTCTCGAGCCCGCCGGAGTCCCACCGACGCAGCGTCGGCGTGCAGACGCTCCGGCGGACCCCGCCGCCGCCGCCGCCGCCTCCGCGGGGTCCACAACAGGCCGGCGACGGCGTCCGTGTGCTGGTGCACCTTCCGCGGCGACGGCGGCGGCCGGCCGAGCCGCCACTCGCCGCCGGAAGTGAGGAGCTCGGCCTGGTGGACGACCGGCGGCGGCGGTCGCGCGCGCTCAGCCCGGCCGAGCGGCGCCGCGTTGACCGCGGCCCGCCGTCGCCAGGCGCCGGCTCGCGCTGCAGCTGCGTCGCGGCCGGGCCGCCGGTCTGCGCGCGGTGCGGCCGGCCGCCGCCGGGCGGCGCCGCCGATTGGGAGCGGTCTAGCGCTAAGCGCGGCGGCTCGCGGCTGTCCGACGACTCGTCGCTACGGGCGGCGTTCGGCTCGTGGCGAGGCGAGGTGGCGTCCACGCCGCGCCGCCGCCGCTCACCACCGCGCGGCGCTCGGCGTCCGGTGCGACTGGACGTGTTCTGCTCGGGCTCGGAGACGGACGGCGACAGCAGCGACGCGTCGGGCGGCACGCTGCGCGCGCCGGCCGACGGCCGGCGGTGGTGCTCGCTGCCGCGCCGCGCCGGCGGCCGCTCACCGCGATTCGGCGACCTGCAGTGGCGCTCCAGCGAGGCGACGGCCGGCCGCGCGGCCAGCGGCGGCGAGTGGGACCGCGTGGCGGCCTGGGCGGAGGCGCGCCGCCGCCGCGGGCCGGGCCGCGATGCTGAGCCGGCCGCGGAGGCAGCGTCAGGCGCCGAGCGCGGCGCGGCGTGCCGTGACAGCCGGGAGCGGACCGCGGCCGCCGCCAGCCCGCCGCGTGGCGTCGGCTCGGCGTGGCGATGCTGTCCGTCCGGGACGCGGGTCGAACTGCCGCCGCCGCCGCATCGGCCGCGCGCTGCCGACCCCGGCTCTGCCGACGGCGAGTTCTGGGTCCGAGCCGAGGACTGCCGGTTGGGGCGGGCGCCGCGAGCGGAGAGGGCCGCCAGTGAGCCGCCACAGAGGAGGGATCGTCAGTAGGGGCGTCACGGCGTTCAGCGTTCAGTCAGCTGGCGCCAGTCGACTTGGGCTAGCTCCAAGCGGGTCGCCGGGACTCAAGAGATACGGGTGTTCACCACACACAGCAGAAGGCCGCAAGTTCTTGTCTGCTATCCTTCAGTGCTCACCTCATAATACGGAGGCGCGTGAACGGGCCGATGTTGGGCGTGACTTGGACGCGACCGGCCGATGTAGAGTACGATTGGTGGCAGTGGAATGAGTAAATGAACAGCGGGCTTTAACTCCTTCCTTAGTAAGGAAGCAAAAGAGAGAGGATAGAAAACCAAACCCGGCTCTCTGATACACGACGAACAGACAGCACTGGATCCCACCTGCTGAGACGGAGCGCGTCCCTGGAAACCCCGCCCCAGCTGAAGCTCGTGGCATCGAAGACTCGCTGACTCGGTCGGGCACGCTGTAACGGGTGTGGCGTCGTGGCCTTTCTGTGGGAGTTGAACCACAGGGCCAACCGAGCAGCTGCTGAGTGGTCACCGCCCCGGCCAGAAAGCACGGCAACTGCACTGGCGAACGTAACGACGGCGACGGCTCGACAGCGATGTCGGCGTTCGGCACTTGTCGGCGGCGTGTCACGGTTGCTGCGGGCCATTTATGATAATGGTGTTCTGCTGATAGAGCACGTACTACACGGACGAGGTGATGTGTGATTGGCAGTCGGTTCGGGAATCGAGTGTCAGCGGTCTCACCGACATCGCTGACAGCTGTGACGGGCGTGCTGAGTCACAACGCCACGCGTAATCGGGCCTCCCCCCGTCCGACCCATCGTCATCAAGACAAACAAACACGGCGTGGACGCCCCGTGGACAAACGTCCCGTGGACGCCCGTCGCGCACGAGAAGCTGGTGACGGGCTGAAAGGATGCTGCTAAGGGATGCTGCAGACTGGCGCAAGACATCCAGCCGGCTAGACGTCGGGCCGCGGTGTGGCCCGCTTTTCTGGGTACAGTGCTGCTCCCCTTCGCTGCGCCGGCAGGGCCGGCCGCGTCGAACGGCTGGGCTGGCGTGCTTGACCTGTGAAGTGGCCTGGCGCGTGCCCCGGTCAGTGGGAGTGCTGCTCCCCACGGGCGGAGTCGGGTCAGTCGGCAGCGATCTGGCGCGCGTACTGACGCTCGATTCGGGCACTCGGATCCGCGCAGTGCGATGGTCGGGACCGAATGCCGCACTTCGCCCAGACGAGTGGAGTCGGGACGGCTTGGTCTCGCTTCTGGAGAGGATGACGCACCCACAAGCCGATTCGCTTCGGCCCGATTGGAGCCGTGAGTGACACTGCTGCGTTCCGACCGGGCCAGGCCGGGCGTCGCTCCCCCGACCGGGCCAGGCCGAGCGTCGCTGCCCCGACCGGGGCGGCCGGCCCGAGCGATGCCACAGCTGGGTCGGCGGCGCCACCTGCGGCGCCGGGCGCGATCGATGGCGCCGTGTCGACACGTGCGGGCGGCCGCCAGTGTCCGCTCGCCCGCCGCCCGGCCCGGCCGGTCGAGCAGCGCAGAGCGAACCGAGTGACGCCTAGCCAGCCGGCCTGCCGCCGCCGCCGGGGTTCGTGTCGGGCGCGTGAGAGCGCCGCCGGGACGCGTGTGTCGGGTGGAGCGGGCCGGCGAGGTGCGTGACGCGACGGGCCCCTCGGGCCCGGCTCAGTGGAGGCGTGAGTGGTGGACGGACCGGCCGTCGGTATAGACGGCACGTCACGCTGAGGGACGCGACGGCGTCCTCAGGACCGGTTCGGTGAGGACGTGCCGAGCTTTTCGTGAGTGACCTGCGACCGCCGGACAGACGACGGACGTGTGTCGCGGCTCGGCGGGCGGCAGGAGGTGGACGGTGGTAGTGAACCGACGACGGTGCGGCGGCGCGCGCGCGACCACCGGGCCGCGGCTCGAGCCGCGTCAGTGCTGCGGCGCCAAGTGTGGTAAATCGGCGTGCCGGACGCCAGCGCCGCCGCCGTCCTCGCCGCGGAGACCCCGCTCTGTCGACCGCCCGGCTCTGAGCAGCCGGCGGCGCGCTCTGCCCGGCGCCACGTGAAGCCGCGCCGCGCCGGCCGGCGCTCGCTCCGCCTGTCAGGACCGGCATCGATCGGCGCTCGTGAGCGTCGCCCGCCGCCGCTGCCACCATGGCCGACGTGTACGGCCGGTACGTGCTGAAGGCCAAGGGATTTTGGACGCGACTCGTCGACCGCGTCAAGCAGAAGCGCAAGGTGGGCCCGGCGGACGACGCGCGCCACCGCGCCCGCCTCAAGCAGACCTCATGGAAGTCCAAGTCGCTGTTCAACGTGTCGGTGACGGACGGCGGCGGCAGGGCCGGCTACCGGCGCCTGCGGCCGGGCCAGAAGGCGCGCAGCGAGCTGTCGGTGCTGGGCGACGAGGCGGCGCCGCGGCGGCTGTCCCGTCCGCACCTGCCCGACCTGGTGCCGCGGCTGTCGGCGCTGCACGCGCAGGCCGTGTACTCGGACAGCGATGAGAGCGGCGCCAGCTCCAACAGCGCGTCCACGGTGATCTACAAGCCGCCCGGGCCGGGCCCGGCGACGGAGCCGGCGACGGAACCCAAGCTAGAGCCGGGGCCAGAGCCCCAGCCGGATCCGGAGTCAGGACCCCAGCCGGAGCTGGAGCCGGGGCCGTCGGATTCGGGCGGCGGCTTCGAGAGGCAGCCGCCGGCGATAGCGGCCGAGCGGGCGGCGCGATTCAACCGGCTCAACCGGCTGCAGCAGGCGGTGCTGGCGCTGCGCTGTGTGGCGCAGCAGCACGCGGCGCGCAAAACCAGCTCCAGCTCCACGGACAGCTCGTCGTCGTCCGGCTCGAGCGGCTCCGCAGACTCGTCGGGCTCGTCAGGCTCGTCGGGGTCGTCGGGCGGCGATTTCTACAGCGAGTCTGAGTTGCTGAGCGATAGCGGCGACGACTCACCGGATGACGAGCCGCCGCCGCCGCGCCGCTCACGCTCCGTCGAGGAGTTGCTGGAGTTCGCGCGTCGCCGCCGCGCGCTCAAGCAGCTGTTCTTCCAGCGCTCCATCTCGCTAATGGAGACGGCGCGCAACGCCTCTGGCGGCGGCGAGCGGCACTACCGCGCCGGCCCGGCCGACCGCGTGGCGGCGCTGAAGGCGACCTTGCTGCGCCGCGCCTCGCTGGAGGATCAGGTACCGCCGCCGCTGCCGGGGTCGGGAGGAAACGAGGGAGGGTCCTGGTGGTCGTGGTGCGTGAGAAGAGGAGGCTGGCTCGGCCACCGCCCCTCTCTGCGTGCTTTGCTGGACCGACGCCCACGAGCCGGTGACCAGTGTATGCGGCCGCTGTTCGTTTGGGAACGACTAGGCCGTAAGCGACTGGTGACTGCCGCTCATATTCCTTCGGACTGGAGCCCAGACCCGTGGTGGCGGGACACTGGCGCGCCACCGCTGTTCAGCTGGTTCACCCTGGCTACGGCCTGTCCTGACCAGTATGGTTTTACGAGAGGATACGCTGCCTGCTGCCAGCCGGGTTCCGCCGAATTATCAAGGCACTAGGCAGTGAAGATGTCCTGGGCTGCGAGTGCCCTTTGGGGTAAGCTTGTCCGTTGATCAATTTGAGATGAATTCCCGCATTAAATCGCGGAATCTACCGTCGTGTCGTGGCTTGGCGCCTCTCAAACACGGACGCTGAATAAGTGCTGACGTTGTGTCGCCGGCTGCCGGCCGCGGGTGGGGAGGGGCCGTGGCGCCGGCTCCGGGCGCGGCGCAGCTGTGGAGCGGCCCAGCTGCCGCGTCGCCGCCGGCTGCGAAGCCACCCGACTGTCGGAAGTGACGCACCGCCGCCGAAGACAAAGACGGTGGCGGCGGCGAACTGCGTAGGCTCGAGGGAGAGGGACGTGGCTCGAGGCAGTCGGTTTTTTAGTTGCTGCATGTTGCTGAGGCTGAGTGTTGATATTGGGACGTAAGTGGTGAATGGTCGCAAACCATCTTCCCCTTTCGACGGGTGCCGGCAATGGTACGCTGGTGCCTCTCATTGAAGCGTGCTCCACATACTGCCTTTCAGAGGACACCTGACGCCTATACAGCCCGTTTTAGCGCACTTCAGCAAGAAGGCGTATCTGTGCCTTCTCCGTGCCGTTATGCAACGGGCGCTTGTCCTGACAGATGTCGGCGCCTCGGCCCCCCGACAGTCGCCTGACGGGAGTGGGTCAGGCCGCCGGATGCGGCTCCATTGTCGCGCCTCCGGCAGCGCCGCACGCACCGCCACAGGTGTCGGCCTGAGCGCGTGCGACGTCCGGGCGGGCGGGTCACGCCGGCGGCGGGGGCGAGCGGCGGGCCGGCCGCCGCTGAGGTCGGCCGGCAGGCTCTGTGTGATGCTGGGGTGCTCGGGGTGGGGAGGCTGCCGGGGACGGCATCGCTTGTGGTGGTCGGTTCCGTCGGAGGTTCGGGTGCTCCGCGCTGCTCACTCTCAGTGGCGAGGTCCCGTCTTTTGGCCTGGAAGTCGCGCGTTCGAAGAGCACCATGGTGGTCGTTTTTCTTTTGAGTTCTCCACTGCGGTCAAACTCAGAGCCCATAGCACCTCTGAGCGTGCAAAGCACTAAGCTCTGCTGAACAGAACTCGTCGGCAACGTCCCTGAGCGACCTTTGTTCGTTATTGGCTCTGCGCCGGTGGATGTGTTTTCCACAACAATAATTGCTCGGTTATGCTGGGATAGAACTACACCCTGAGGTGCACACTGAGATCTCGTCGTGCATAGCCATGGTAGACTGCGTGGAGCCTGGGGCACGGGTACACACCGTTCCGGGGTCCGTTCGCCGGCGGCAGTGCGGCCGGTCCATAGCGACAGCCGGTGGTGAAGCCTGTCCGCATGTGCTTGCTGCCAGGTCTGGTCACCTCGCTTACCCGTGAGGTGACCGTGAGCCGCGAGTGGGTCCCGCTGTTCCGCTCAGGCCCTGCGCCCGCCGCCGGCGCCGCTCGGCGTGAGCGGCGCGGTTTGTGTTCCGCTCGAGCCTCGCGTCAGGAGCCGCGTGCAAGGCGAGCCGCCTGTTGGCGCGGCATGGTGGCCACGGCTGAGCGTGGGTCGGCCGTGCCGCCCATGGCGCGCGCCTGATGTGCCGCCCATGGCATGCGCCTGTTGTGCCGCCCATGGCGCGCGCCTGGTGTCGTGCCGCCCATGGCGTGCGCCTGGTGTCGCGCCGCCGCCCGGCCGCCCCGCCCCGCCGTGCCGGTGGAGGGCAGGTGTCGGTCGGCGCTCCCCCGCGGTCCGTTGACGCTCCTGGCTGAGCGCCGGCCGCGGGCTGGCACGCCCAGCTGGAGGTCACGGCCCGCCTGTCGGCAGTATATCAGCGGGAGCGACGAACGCCGCGACATGTCACACCTGCTTCGCGACGTGCCCTTGCGAAGCTGGTGCATGTCAGCGGGCATTTACCGTTGTCGGCCAGGGCTGGCGCGCTTCGCTGCGGGCTCATTCTGACACGATGATGATCTATTATTAACGGTGGCCTACCATTGGCTGCTGCTGGTCACGTGACACTGCTGCAGGATTGGAGCGAGGGGCATGTAGTGGCTGTCATTCGTGAAGAGTGTTGTTGTGTCGACTAGCTTTAACTACTCGAATATGGCACGTGTGTGCGCAGCCTTCTGTTAGTGTCCTCGTACAGATGAATACGCGCGGATGTATGACACGTGTGCGCCTGCGGCTGATGTGTATGTCTCGCACAACTGAACCAGAACAACCTCATGCCCTGTGACCTTGACCTCATGCCCTGTGGCCGTGACCTCATGCCCTGTGAACAACCTCAGTCGTCATGCCCCGTTTTGATCAGTCCGTTCGACTGAATACTAACAGCCGTCCAATGCTGGCTGTAAACATCAACTCACAAGTTTGGTCACAAATCCAGGCAGATGCACTGCTCGGCACCTGAGACCCTGTGATCTGAACTCCAGAGGGGGGGGGGGGGGGGGGTGATGGGAACACCATCTCATGGCGCGAAATCTACAGGCACCACGAGTACCAGCGGTAATCCGAGAGCCAGAGAGCCAGAGCGTATGAGAGAGCAGGAGATAGTGTTCATGTGTGTCCCGACTGACGGCGGTGTGCGCGTCCGGCAGGCGCAGCAGAGTCTGCAGGAGTCCAGCCGCAAGCTGGACCTGCTGCGCCTCTCGCTGGACCGGAGACGGAAGGAGCTGCCGCCCGGTGAGCCGCCGCGGGGTCGCGACCTCCGACCTCAGCTGACCGGAGACGGGCCGGAGGGCGCGAGGGGTGTGACATGGCGACTTGACCTGGTCCGACTTGAGACCAGGGATTTGTTGAGTCATCAGATAAGAAGTGGCCAGATGATGTTTGTTATGCTATACTTTGTCGGACCCGAACATCACATTAAACCAGACCGGAAGGTGCCGGGATGCGGTCTAGAACGACTGAAACTTGGATGACTTCACGTTTAGACTACGCGGCCTTGTGTCTTGATGTATTTTTGCAGGTGTATTTTTGCAAGTGCCTTGTTGTTTAGAGCACCCAATTGTGAAATTTGCTAAGTGCGTCTCCATCTGTGCGTCTCTAAGTGCGTCTCCAGTGCGTCTCCATCTGTGCCGTAGGGGTGCTGTGTACTGCTGGGCGCGAGTTTGCGTGTCGCAACTCGGGCGCGATTTCTTCTCGTTGGCCGGCTTTTATCAGTTGCGAAATTACGCAAGTGGTACGCAGTTGGCGCGCAGCATTTCGAAAGCTCTCCGTTGTACCCTGCAACAGACCCTAGCAGTCGGAACGCAGATAGCTGGCGAAACGAACTCCGTAACGATAGAGATGTGCTTGGACAGACTGCTGAACGGTCGTTACAGCCAGAGTATGTAGCTGACTCAGAAAGGTTGAAAGACAAATTTCCAGTTTGGTGCCGGTGTTTTCAATCAGCTGCTTCCATTAAACTGCTCCTAATGGTTTGGTCGAGGGCTGTCGAGAGCCGGGCGAGGACCGTGACTGTTGACGTCTGGGTAGAAGTGTCTCGACACAGGTTCCTGCTGTTCAGAAATCCCCAAATGAACTCGCTGCCTCGTAGACAGCAATGGTTTAGTGTCTTTTCAGGCGCCCTGTCCGTTTGCTGTTGTTGGTCAGGGCACTAGCAGAGGCATTCGATATTGTCTAGGAGTTCGGGGCTCACAGCACTTGTTTTGCCATACCGCCCCACCACATCACAAACGTTCTTAATACGCTGTCGCTGGTTCTGTTGCAGTTCATTAGATATCCATGTACAGCTTTATAGCTATGATATCTGGACCGGTGATGGTGTTTGGCTGTCGTTGCCCAGCGCAGCTACACTCCCCGCAGCGGCGGGGAGTGTCGCCTGTGCTTTGCTGCTGTGCTGTGCTGTGCTGCGTGACGTGCTGTGCTGTGCTTAACGTCCGCGGGTCGGTCCTCGCCCGGCGCCAGGCTCCATCAAGGCGTCGGAGCTGAAGGAGGACCTGGAGCAGGTGCAGTCGCCGTCGTCCAACTCGGCCAGTCTGGAGAACTTCCGCCGCTCCAGCGAGGTCAAGGAGAACGTCGCCGCGTCCGGCTACCGGCCCAGCATCAGCGTGGTGAAGACGGCCGCCGTCACCGGCAAGCTGGAAGTGCGGTGAGTGGCGCCGGTGACGCGCGGTGACCGGGCGGTGACTGAGCGGTGACCGAGCGGTGACCCGAGCGATGACCGAGCGGTGACCCGAGCGGTGACCGCCACCGGCGCGCGGGCGGCAGCGAGGTCCAGAGGCCGGCCGACACTGCCGGAATGCCCGGTCGGCAGAAGCGTCGACGTCGCTGAGCGGGCGGGCTCGGCGGCGTCTCGTCGGCGAGATGTGTGGGCGTGTGCTGGTGGTGTGCTCGGCGCCTGGCGGTGCGACTGTGCGGTCGTGAGACTCGACTCGTGGATGAGTGTGGGAGTTGACTCGTGGATGCCTGTGCGCAGATCGTGTCCTTCATTAGACTGGCATTAGATGTGATCCGTTAATGCGGACTGACGCAGATCGCAGTCGCCGTCATGGTTGGCGCAAAATCGCCCAACGCTGACGCGCCCGTAAATCCCACACCGCCAACAGCCGCCGTCTCGATTGCGCAAAATTGGCGCCGTTGGCAGGCGGCGACTGTTCACTGTGCCGACGTGTGGGCCTGTCCGACTCTGTCGGCGCCCGGCCGGGGTGATGAAACAAGTGGCGGCCGGCGCCGTCGGCCGGCGGCGGCGGCAAGTGTTCCTGCGCCGGCCCCGCTGACCTTGGTGGAGCCGCGCGTGCTCTGAATCACCGGCCGCACGCCGCCTGTCGACATACAACGCCCACGGTTGGGGCGCGGCGCGCGCGCCGATGGGGAGGGGCAGTGCGTCCGGCGGCAGTCGGCGACGGAGGAAGGGATGGGGCGTTGGGTGACGGATGTTCGCGATGCGCTTGTGTACGGGCAGGCGTGTGCCCCGCACGTGACTGGCCGCACCGCGAGGGTGGCCGGGTGGATGCCGCTCCGTGGCCCGGCGCAGCGCTCTGGGGGTGGCGGTCACAGGTGCGTGGGGCCCCGCGCCGCGCGCCGCTGCGTCAACAGGACGGCGCGGCGCACGGCGTGTTGCGCGGCGTCGTCGGCGTATCGACACGTCAGAGCGTTGCGCCATCGGGAGCGGCGGCGCCGGCCGAGCCCCGGAGCCGGCTGGCCGGCCGGGGCGGGCGCCCGTCCACCCGGTACGCAGGCCGGGACGTGTCCGGCTGGTGCCGGTGGCGGTGTTCGTGTCTCTGTCACACTGGCCTCTCTCCGCGTCGGCTGGCGGTGGGGGGTGTCAACCGCTGCGAGCCGTCTGCCTGGCTGCAGGAGGGACCTAGAAGTGTCTCTGATCTCTCCGTGCAGAATAGATGGCTGGACTGCCGGAGCCTCTGGAGGAGGTGCTGGGCCGGTCCCCGCCAGTGTCACTGACTGTGTCCCCCCGGTGGCAGGCTGCTCGGCTGCCAGGGCCTGCTGGAGGAGGTGCCGGGCCGGTCCCGGCGCGACTCTGCGCACAGCATATCTAGTCCGTCCGACCTGCGCTTCTTCATGAAGGGCGTCACCGGCCGCTCGTCCTCCAAGTCCTACAGCGTCAAGGACGAGACGAGCAGTGAGTGCGCGCGCGCCTGCCGCGCCGCGCCGCGTAGTCGGCGCATGTGGCGCGCGGACGGCGAGGGCTGCGCTGCGGCACGGGTGTGCTGGCGGCGGCCCGCCCGCTCAGTGCCGGTGGCCGGTGTCTGTGTGGCGCTCGCCTGGATGGGGCAGTTGTGCACGCATGTCGCATGTGGAGCGCCGGGTTGTGGGTGTGCTGTCCTGCCTGCGCAGCTGGGGGCGACGCCGGTTTTTGCGGGGCTTTTTTGGTCGCCGGGCGTTACGCGTTGTCATCGCCGCTGTCGGCGGTTTTTGCCGCGCCGAACTCGCGCGGTCCTGAGCGCTGACAAGACGTACTAATGGTGTCCGCGGGTTAACGTACATCAGAGCGCTTGTCCTGACCCACAGGGCTACTAATGAGCTGAAAGGGGGTTCAGACCTATTCAACAACCAGACAGCAATAAATCAAACCCAATGACTGCAATAAAATACTGAAGGTGCGGATTAACTAAATGGATCTCATTGCATTCGGGCGACGCGAGTACATATCTGTCGCCATGTTAGCTTCATCCCGCCTGAGTCGTCATTATGCAATTAAGCGGCAATGTGTATGCGAGAGACACCACCACATAAACTTAACGTAATCAAGTGTGCGATAACTAGCCGGTCGGTGATCTTGAATGGGCGCCGAGCGCTGAACCGTGCGTATGCCGTTCTTCGCGGGCTGTCCATAGCTGGAAACTAAGCGTAGCTTACTAGGCATGTGTCCGAGTGTTTCATCTGACTAATATCACTCCCGCGCTGCACATAGTTCTGGCTGGTGTCCGTCCCGAGCGCCCTCATCCCGAGCACACTCGTCCTCTCCGGGCACTTGCGTCAGGCGGCGTCGGCGAGGCTCCCGCGGCTCTGGCGTGCTCAGTTTTCTTGCTTTCACTTTGACCTCTCAAAAAGATTAGACATGTGCACCAGAGTTGTGTGCTGCTCGATTCGGTGCTCACTTAACTGGAGTGAAATCTATCAGCTTAAAGGCTCGTCGCTGCGGAGCCTTAGCTCATGCAAAACTGAGGAGTGCAAAAACAGTGACCGTTTTCCTCCACACCTTGAAGCATTAGAGCAAAACACTGTTAATAAAAACGAGGATTTGATTCCCTGAAGCAATACAGCACGTGCTAAAAAGATCCAGAGAGTAAAAGACCGGAGAGACCCGGACGTCGTCTGTCCCGCCCGCCCTCGCTCCGGCACTCTCCTGTGCCCCACGCCCTTGCACCCTGCACCCCGCACCCAGCACCCTGCACCGTGCACCCCGTGACGGTGGGCGCTGCACGCGGCCGCGCGCGGCCCGGCCGGTCGACACTGACTAACCGTGCGCCGCTGCTCGGCCGCATGCGTGCCGCCAGACCCGGGCCTGGTGCGGCAGGTGCTCAACAACCCGTGTCTGCCGCGCTCCGCCGAGCTCGCCTCCAGTAAGTCTCTCGGCCCGTCTCCTCCGGCGCTGTCTCTCTCTCTCTGTCTCTGTGTCTCTCGTTTTGGCTGTCCTCGCGGCCCTCCCACCCGCCCCACCCCCGTCCCGTTGCGGCGGCGGCACGGCTCGGCGGCGCCACCTGCTCTGCGAAACGTGCCGTCGTTTACGGCGGTTCAAGTGTCCGTTGCAATTAATTCTACGCATCGTGGAACCTGGTCGGCCCCCGCACTGGGTGGTGACACAAGGCATCATCACTTCGGCATGGTAGACGTTAAGCTGTTGCGGCCAGTGCGTTATTGACAGCATGCCGAGTGGATTCTGCTTTCTCTGAAGCCCTGACACCGTGCCGCTGCCGCGCGGGGACCCTGTCCCAGCCTTCCGTCGTTCTGTCGTCTTCTTTCGGCTCTGCTGGGGCTTCTGTTACTCTTTCGATGTCTGTCTGAACCGGGGCTGAGTGGCGCTCTTGCCTGTTGGGGCGTTGTTTTCGTGACCGTTGTCTCCGGGTTGAGATGCGTGCATGCTGTTCGACTGGCGTCTCGCACTCGTTTCTGCACGGCCCTCGACTTGTCTCGTTAGTCATCTGGCTGAAAGCCTCGTCAGCTGTTGCCCGAGGATCACTTCCGGTCCTATCCTTTGCCCAGTTGTGTCGTGGAACACCTCCGTTTCCAACAGCTCTCCTCCACGCCGTTCCGCGCCGCGCGCGCCCGTCGCCACAAGCCGTGCCACACTGCCCCGTCATCCGCATTGTGCTCGGGCTAAACCCAAGCGGTGCCCAAGTCACTCGGGCCGTGTTCGGGCCGCACCCTGGTCATGCTCGGGCCGTGCTCGGGTCGCACTCGGCTCATGCTCGGGCCGTGCTCGAGTCGTACTCGTGCCGTGATCAGGCCGTACTCGGGTCGTGCTCGGGCCGTGCTCGGGCCGTACTCGGGCCGCGTTCGGGCTGACGGGCGGCCGGCGCGCCATGTGCCGCCAGACGAGATCATGGCCGTGCTGAAGCTGGACAACGTGACGGTGGGCCAGACCAGCTGGAAGGCGTGCTCCCAGCAGGCGTGGGACCAGCGCTTCTCCATCGACCTGGACAAGTCGCGCGAGCTCGAGGTCAGTGGCCGGCGCCGGCTCGCTGGCGGAGGGCGGGACGAGTTGCGTCACCGAGCTCCCCGTGCGCACGGAGGGACCGGTGCTGGCTGCTGAGGTGGGGCGGCACCGGGCGCCGGTTTTCCTCTTTTGCTCTCAGGACTGTGGCCTCTTTTTCACTCTGGACAGGCCCATGTGAAGTTGGCGATGTGGCGGGGTCAAGGTAGTGAATTGTTTGGGGCAGAATGAACCCCGTGAGCGTGCGTGTGAGGCGGGAAGGTCACGCCGGGGTCGGACAGGTTCTCAGCCCAAGTTCAGTGACTTGGGCTGCACGTCCGTACGATCGTTTGGCGTCGTGGGTGATGTGCGATTTACACCGTCGGCAGGGAACGGTTCATGACGTCATTTTGGGGCTCTTCCTGCGCTGGGTTTGCGGGGCTGTGGGTGCTCTTCACCTTACGTAACGTGCTTGTGAGATGTGCACTTTACCTGACGTACTGGTGCGACCTGGGACGACTCCTGCCCTCGTGTAACACATCCCAGCCCCCCCCCTTCCCCCCCCCCCCCCCATTGAAATACGGAGATGTGTGAGGAATGATAAAGGGTGATCGTTTGGCCGCGAAAATGTGTGCTTCGTTCGCGACAGGTGCCGAGAAAGTTTTACTAATTGTATATAATGTTGCCGACCATTCTGATAGTTCTGAATTTGGTGGCGATGTGTGTACGTGGGGCCGTGCGCCGATGTGTGGAGTGACACGTGTACTCCACACGCGCGTGGCCAGAGTTCCGTACATGTATGGCGCACTCGCCGTGCGCCAGCTGCACCCCGTTCGCGGCGCGAGCAAACTAAACCGGCGACTCGCCCGCCAGGTGGGGTGCCGGTAGTGTAGTGGCTAACGCTTCGTCGTGGTTAACGCGTCTGCGTTAACCACTACACGTCTGTGAAACCAGAGGTACGGGGTTGGATTCCCCGCGGTGCCCGCCCTTCCTGCCAGGGTGACAGGCAGGCGACGCCATATAGCCTCAGCAGCTGAGTGCGTCGTAAAGTCCCAATGACATGACATGACACACGCCCGCCAGGTGGACATCTACTGGCGCGACTGGCGGTCGCTGTGCGCCGTCAAGTTCCTCCGCCTGGAGGAGTTTATCGATGACGTGCGGGACGGCATGGCGCTTCAGCTGGAGCCGCAGGGCCTGCTCTTCGCAGAGGTACGCCGCCCGCTGCGCCCGCACTGGCCCGAGTTGGCGGCGCGGTCGGCTTACACGTGGGAGATCCGGGTTCGGGTCCCAGCGGGCGGGCGCTGTAGCCCCCGGCGCTGATATGAGCCATGCGCTCGCCAGCCGCAGTTCACAAAGGGTGGCCCGACGAGGTGTTCAGCGCAGCCTTTAGAGCAGCTGCTGTGGAAGTCTGTGTGGGTTGGTCGGGTTGGATTCGGCGGTGTCATGATTGGACAGGTGATAGCTGATGGAGGTCTCGTGGTCTGAAGGACGCCGCCTCGGTCGATGCACCCGATTTTGATGCTCGGTCTTCGCATGTGTCGTTCGTATCCCGCGCGTCATTCGCCCCCGCGCAGGATCTGTGGTGACAGCTTCATACACCAGCTGGACGTGTCTTGCCATCTTCCCGTGTTTGCTCACGCTCGGCTCCGAGTTTTACTGTGTGCTGCCACCGCAGATAAAATTCCTGAACCCGATGATATCGCGTCGGCCGAAGCTGCAGCGCCAGCGCAAGATCTTCAAGCACAAGGGCAAGACGATCCTGCGCCCCAAGCAGATGAACATCAACGTGGCCACGTGGGGTCGGCTGATGCGACGAGATCTGCCGGCCGACCAGGGCAACGAGGCCTCCTCGGGCCCGTCCAGCCAGAGCAGTGAGTGCGCGCCGGAGGGGCGGGCAGCGCAGGCGCCGGAGCAGGGCCCGTCCAGCCAGAGCAGTGAGTGCGCGCCGGAGCAGGGCGACGGGGCGACCCCGGGCCGGCGTCGTCAGGCTGTGGGTGGTGGGTCGCCGGCGGGGGAGGCGAAGGGGAGGGGTGACGAGGCGCTTCCTCATACCTAGATAGACTCCGGATGTTCAAGTCGAGGGACGTGTCCGGCGGCGAGAGGCCGTCTGAACGGTCCTGTTAGCGCGGTCGGTGCCGGGACCGTGGGTGTAGGACGTGTTGTGTCAAAGCTAAGTCGGCTTGAGGTGTTGCGTTGCTGGTCACTTTATAACCCACTTGGCTCCGTTGCGGATGCTTTTAAGCCAAGTAATGTCTGTTAGACCCGGCGCTACATCCAGAATGATTCATTCTAACGCGGTGTCATCACGAACTCCTGTCTCGTGTGCATTGCTCCCGTTGAGCACCTTTGATAGCTCGTTCAGCGGGCAATGTGTGCACGGCAAACTCGCAAGACAAGGGACTGGCGTGCCGTCTTGTCTTTTCCTGTTCCGTCCCTTGCGTGTGCTGGGCTGGACCGGCGCCAGGCTGTCACTGACTTGCGCGTGCGCGCGCTCGCCAGGCACGCTGCAGCGGCCGCTGGGCCGGCTGGACTCGGTGCCCGACGACATGGAGCCGGCCGAGCTGCTGACGCCGGCCGAGGGCGGCGCTGCCCGACCGCTCACCATGTCAGAGGCGGTCAAAACCACACCGCCGCCCACCATATACTCACATACGCCCAGGTTAGTGCCGACCTTTTACTCACCATGTCAGAGGCGGTCAAAACCACCGCTTCGTCCACCATGTATTCACACACGCCCAGGTTATTGCCGACCTTGTACCCGCCATGTCAGAGGCGGTCAAAACCGCCCCAACGCCCACCAAACACTCAAATCCGCCGGGGCTGGTGCCGGCCGTGTATTTTAGCACACTGGTTTGTGACCTGTTACTTGGTTGCAATCACCAATGCGAGCGATGGCCGTTTTGGACTTGTTGACTGCATAGCCAGGCGATCTCGTTTTCCTTGCGGCCTTGTTGCGTGGTTGCCATGGACTCCCTGGTCCAATGTCTCGGCGCCTGTTGCAGTTTATCGTCGAGCTCCAGTTTACACGGGATGCGGAAGCCGCTGGCCGTCCCCACGCCCACCGTGCCGCCGAAGCTGGGCTCGCCGACCGAACCGCTGGCCAAGGTAAGTCCGCCGCTGCTGCCATCTGGTGGCGCCCGCCGGCGGCTGCGGTTGTCTGCGAGAACGGGCGATGGCGCTGCGATCGTCTGCGAGGCGACGAAAGGGCTCCTTCATCGCTGGAGTGGTGATTGGAACGCACCGTCGGTGAGCTGCGGGAGAAGTTGGAGGTCGTCTCGGTCTGGCAAAGACGTTCAAATTCCGTGGACGTTGGCAGTTTTTGCTGGGCGGTTGGTATCGACAATGTTCACAATATACGGAGGACGGACCTCTCGCGTTTCGCCTCGCGGAGGATCCTCGGCAGCCGTAGTTCCTGGCATCGCTTCGAGATGTCGCTGGCGTGCCCGTCGCTCGCCCGCTCATGCGCGCCGATCGGTCCGCCCCGATGCGGCCTTGCCATGGGGCCCGCTGCCGCGTGACAGAGCGGGCGCGATCGCGAGCGGCCACTGCCGCTCTGCACGCGAGGCGCGGGACGGCGCGGCGCCAGCCGGGGATCGGGCCGATGCGGCGGCCGCCTGGGCCGTTCCGTCCACCGCAACCCCGTCCGTCCGTCTGCCGACCACGGTGCTGAGTCACGCACGACACGGCCGGGCCGACGGCGGCGGCGCTTCGGCAGTAGTCGCGATCATGTCCTCCGCCGGCGGAGGACATGATCGCTATGACCGGCCGGGGCCGGTCCGGGCGGTGGCCGCGGCCGCGGCTGGGAAAGATGGACTGCGTGGGACGATAGGTGCACCGCTCAGCGCCGGCGGCCGCCCGCCGGCCGGTGCCGGGCTCGATTCTCTCGTGGTCGCGTGTCGGCTGCTCGTTCATTGAGCAAGGCGTCTGAAGTAATGATGGTGGACAAGTAACTGAGTGACCCGATCGTTCGATGTTTATAGCCGTCGGCCGACCGGTTCACCTCGCCTCACCTCACTTCGCATCACATCACATCACATCACATCACCTTACCTTACCTAACCTTACCTTACCTTACCTTGCGCTGCCTTGCCTCACCTCACCCATCTCACCTCACCCCACCCCACCTCACCTCATCTCGCCTCGCCTCGCCTCACCTCATCTTATCTCACCTTACCTCACCTTACCTCACCTCACCTCACCTCACCTCACCTCACCTCACCTCACCTCACCTCACCTCACCTCACCTCACCACTCACCGCCGGCCTGGCCCGGATCAGCCGTCCGTCAGTGGAGACAGGCCAATCATACGGCGAAAACGGACCGGCCCGCCTCACGCGCTTCAGCCGCCTTCCGTGATGTCTTCACCGATTCGCCCCGGCCGCCGCCGCCGCCGCCGCCAGCGTCTCGTTACCTGGCGAGTGCCCCGGAGGCGGCGGCGGCGTACGTGGCGGCTGGCGCGGCAGGCGGTCGGCCGTCGCCGCCCGGGTGCCCCGCCGGCAGGGGTGAAAGGGTCGCGGACCGGCCGCTGCCTCCCGGAGCGCTGCCGCTGCTGCCGGGAGCGCCGCCGGGTGCGTGTCGTGACGTCCGGCGGCCGGGGAGATTGTGTCTGTCGTGCGCGCGCGCGCGGCCGGGCGGCGCGCGCCGAGCCGGACCGCTCTCTCGGCCGCGTGAGACGCGTGCGCGCCGAGGGGCCGGCCGTCGCCGCTGGAGTGTACACGCCGGGTCACGTGCCGCGCACGCCTGCTGCGAGGTGGCCGGCCACCGTGGTCGGCGGCGGCGCCGTTCCGGAGCGCTCACCCCGGCGCCGCCGGTGTTTCAGCCGGGGCAGACTGGTACCGGCGACGGTTTCGTGCCGTTGCTTCGTGTTGGAGGCGAGAGGTAGTGATTATGGGCGATGGCTCGTCTTCGTGGCCCTAGCTTCTGAGGATTCATTCATCGCGATCGCGTCTGAAAGGTAGCGGTATCAAAACAGGGCGCAACACAGCGCGAGTTCGGCGGAGGTCGGTCGGTTGGTCCGCACGCCGACCGCGCCTGTGCAGCGCGAGGTCCGACGGAGCGGCGGCTTGAAGACCGGCCGGCACCTGCGCGACGAGCAGCCGCGTGTGGGCCGCGGCGTCCGACAGAGTGTGGGCCGGCCGGCCTGACCTGGCGCCGGCGTGACTGGGGCGGCCCCGCTGCCGGCGCGTGACGCCGTGTGACGCCCTGCACGCCGCCTGCACGAGGGCATCAGCTGGAGGTCACGCCCCGAATGCGCTGCCATTTGTCGCACGCAGCCGCCCGCGAAGAGCGTTTAGCGTGTCACTGTCGTAATGGCGCCGGCTGCTGCTCGGGTGCCGTGTTGCAATGATGCTGATTTGGCTGTATGACGGCTGGTGGACTGGGGAGAAGGCGACCAGCTTCTGGAGTTTTACAAGACGAGAGGGAGATATCTCGCTCCCGTGAAACTGCCACGCGAACCGCAAATGAAAAAGCTGCAAAGGCACTAACCGTTTGTTGCAACTTTCCTCGGTCACAATCTTGAAATGACTTGCGAGGCTGCACAGTTAGCACACGGGCGGTGTCACCCGCGCTAACGAACCGAAGCACGACCGACGGCGGCACTGGCGTTTCTCTGTCGTGCTCGCGGTCGCAACCCCCGCCCCCGCCCGGCCGTTGGGCTGCCCAGCTGTTGTGTGCGGCCGAGCAGCGGCGCTCGTTAACACCGGGCGAGCGCTCTGTCGCCGAGTGTTTCTTTAAGAGAGATTGGCCGCAGGTCGGCCGCCGTGCCGATTTCGCCGCGGTCACGCGCGGAATTAATCGGCGCCGGTTGGCTAATGGGCGCACGATCGGGGCCGGGCTGTGTGCGGGCTCTGGGTCTGCGCCCGTGTGTGTGATGGATCAACAGAGCGGGCGGCTGCAGACCCGATACGCGGCATCCATCACCGCTGAGTGATGGCCGGGACGTTCGGTCTGGTTCGGCTGAGGGCCGACGGTGACGTCCTCTACGTTGTCGAATTGCGTCATGGGGTGGCTGCGCGCTGATTCGACGGCGTTTTTGCTCGGCTGACGAAACCGAACGGGATACGTGGCCTTCTCAGTAGCGCAAAGGATTGTAGAAGCGTGAACTACTCCCGAATCCGTGAAAGGACAGGCGCCGTTTTTGTAGGTGTTACAGTCCATGGACACATTGTGTAGAGCTGCCGTCGGCGATGGGAGAGCGTGCGGGCAGCGGCGGCAAACGTCACCTTCACGGTGCTGTCCGACGACCAAACCCAGCCGTCGGGGAGGCTCCCCAGCCCCTGTGTAGCCCTTCTCCTCTCGGTTATCCCGAGTGAAAGCCGTCTGCCGGCGCTCGGGCACGCTGTTCGTCTTCGGGCCCGGCCTGAGCGGCGCCGTGCCGCGGCGTGCCGACGCTCGTGCCGGGACACGGGCGTCTGTTTACCCGATCGCGCTCATTACGGCGCCGGCGTGGCCGATCACGGTGTTTGAGTGTCATTAGAGGCGGCGCGCGCTCACAGAGGGCCGTGTCGGGCGGCCGGCGCGGCTCCGCTTCGCCGGCGACCCGGTCATTATCGGCCGCTGGCCGGTTAGGCAGCGGGCCGCCGGCCGCGGACGCAAACACCGCCGGATGCGCCGGGCAGCCGGGCTGACAGCGGTGCGGGTCGCGGCCATTGTTCGAATCGGGACCGCGCGCAACAGTCGACCTTGTTCGACCCGGGACCGTGCAGACCGGCGCGGGCGGGTGTCACGCGCCCGCGCCGTTGCGGACGCTGGGCGGACGCTCTGTGTCTGTGTCGCCGCTCCGGCCGGCGGGGTCTGGCGCCGCGGCCCAAGCCAGGGGTGGCTCTGGCCGCTGGCCGCGGGTTGGAGCGGGCCCGGCCCGCACCAGCCCGCGATCCCGTCCGGGCAGCGCGTTATCCTCTTGAGCTGCTGACCGGAAAAACCGCGTCGTTGTGCCGCGTGGAGGGACGCCAGGCATGATGTTATGCACGTGCGGTGGCTCAAAACACGAGCGCGGCGTGAAATAGAGCGTGATGCTGCCACGAACAATCTCCTAACCCACATCTGAAATGGCTCAACCTCAGCGTGAAGTGGACGAGAAGACAGACGATCAATTTGCAAAGCAGTTATCAAAGGCTTCAGCGTCCATGGAGGTCAGGCATTGTCACGCAACTCGGCCACGCATGACGCGACAGATTTTCACGCGGCCATATCTGGCTACGTGCGACCTTGTGTCGGCACCTCCAGTGGCAGCGCGCGCGCGCGTGTGTGTATGTATGTATGTATGTTTCCGACCAATTACCGCGCCACTCCCCATAAGGCGTAACGACAATTCGATGACCGTGGCCGTGCCCGCCTGCTTCCCCGCCCTGTGTTGTGCTGCCCCGGACCGCTGAAGCCAGCCGCGGCAGACGGAGAAGGGCAGGCCGGACGGCCGCGCCCCGACCTGGCCCTGGGCGATGGCCGACGGTCGTGACCTCTCCTGCCGCCGGAGGGGCCAGGGTCGGTGGCAGACGGTCCGGACAGCGTGGACCGAGTGGCTCGGATCCGTCGCATTCTTGGAGAGCTTCTCAGCCGTGCCTTTGCGCGCGTCTGAACTGAAGTCACGGCTTTTGGTAGTGTTGCCCTGAATACCCGCCGTGTCGACCCCGGAGAATGCGGCGGGTTCGGCTTCATGGGGTCGGCGAAGTATTTTTGTGATTCCAGTTGGATTCATGACCTCCGATTGTCCTTTAATGGTATACATTTGGTTATATCGAGCCGATGTGAAGCATGCTGATGTACTGGACGCTTCGTCCTGGCTAGCCGAGGTATCGCTTTAACGATGCGGTACGAAATGCGGGGGCCATCCAAAGGTATCGCGCGTTTCCGCTCCGACAGACTGTTTCTATCATCGGCCTTCGTGCTGTCGGAAAAGGCGTTCGATGAGCTGTAATAGTGACTAATGACTTTACTGGTGCCGGCCGGCCACACGGCCAAGTGACAAACTCGCGGCCACAGTGCGGGCCGCCGGCACCGGACCGGTGAGGTCGGATGCACCGGACCACATGCAAGGTCCCGGCACGCTGCAAGCCACGTGTCGATTCCTCCGGTACCGATTTTGAGAGCTCGCCTTTATTCAGTTG